CCCCCCCGCCCCTCCTCCGCGGCCTTGACTCACATCGTTACGGCAGAGCGGGGGGCGACAGCCGACAGCCCAGCCGGCTAATTCGAGTCGTCTCGCCAACGCGCTAACTGCTGACCTAGCCCGGCTGGGCCACCGGCTTGGCCTGGCCACCGTGCTGGGCCATCCCCGCGTATGGCTCACATGAGGCCCCGCTGCAGCACAGCAGCCCGCCCCTGGCCGCCCCTGGCCGCCTCAGGCCGCCTTTGGCTGCCTCTGGCCGCCTCTGGCACCCGCTGCACGCAATGCCGTACTTTCACTTTAGGCCGCACCCGTGCTGCACCGCACCACCCGGTATGAGAAATTAAATATACTGCGCCCAGTCCACCGAACATAAGAGGAGCTCCCGTCATCGCCAAAAAGCCTATGCTTGCGATGTAATTTTTTATTTTCTTTTTTGGGGGGGGGGGAGGGGGATTTTTAAGGTTTGCTAGGTTTCTTTTTAATGTGTAAGAAATTAAGAAATTCTAGAAAATGTTTGAAAAGTTATTTTTATGTGGGAAAATATTTAGAAAATACTTAAACATCTTAAGTTTTCAATGAAAACTTTTGTTATGACCTCTCCCTGCGACGTTCTAATCCTAATCGCCCACGGCCGTGGACATCGGACCGACGACACGGTTGAGGTTCTGCAGGGCACCACCTCCTGTCAGAGCCTTAGAAACTAACTGTGCAGTAGTGGCCCTCCTGTGAGAGGTACGCAGAGCTGGCGGCTGGTGTTCCATGGGGCTGGAGGCCCCCTGTGCGAGACTAGGACTAGCAGAAAGCGCGCGATAGCTCTGCGCTTGGTAATCGTTGTTATCAACAGATTTTGGCTAAAAGCGGGCGAGTTATATAATTTATGAGCTCCTGCAAGTCTCACATTTAAAATGAGTCATGTCTCGCGGCGGTGCGAAGAGAATTGTGAAAGAAATTAATATCTGAAAACTCGAGGTGGAGCGAGGGAGGTTATGGCCGCTTCTAGCCTCGCACAGGGTGATTTTGGGGTATGGCCGCGCCCGTGGAACACCAAAGCGCTGTGATTGGCTGCCGCTCGACTGCTCTGCGTACCTCTCACAGGAGGACCACTACTGTGCAGTTACCAGCACCGGGGCGCCTCCCCCCGACCGCCTCATCCACCCCCCGCTGCTCTACGTCGACGTCATCCTGGCGCCCCCGCGGGGCCCTCGATCTGCCTGAGCTGGCGGCGGCCTTTTAGGCCGCATCTCGCGGTCTGCTTTGCTTTGACGGCGGAAATGACGCAAACCGGAGCTGCCGGAGCGCAGCATCAGCCCGCGCGTTCACCCCGGGGGCCCCGAGCGAGGGATCGGGCCTGGAGCCCGTGGCGCATCCGACGGCAAATCGTTCCCGATGAACTTTGTCTTGACACGACAGCCAGCCTGAAGGCGCCTACGGACGAGTTGCGATTGGCAAATCTCTCTCACTCCCCCCTCCCAACCCCGCCCTTTTTTTTTTCACCGCCAAACCCCTGGCTGTGCGGAGAGCCAGCAGCAGAGAAAATATGACGGCCCATAAGGCCAGCCGGTGGGTCGTTTTCTGCGTTAATTGTGAAACGATCGTCAGTCGGAGAATAGGCGCGACTGCGCGGGGCAGACGTCTCAGACGTAACCGGCTTACGGCAAATGAACGCCATTATGACCGCGCCGATAACTGATGGCCAGAGACGTTTGAGAGTTATTTCGGGGAGGCGATTGCCACTTTGAAAAATATCGTCGTAAAATTTACGATTTTTTTTAAAACCCGAATTTTAATTTTTAAATTGTGAATTGACGAGAGCACATATTTTTTTACTCGCCAATAATTGATTTCAAGTCGATACGTACTGCATGGTATTTTTACAAATAATTGTAATTTTACAACTTGCGTCAAGGAAAATTTTTCTGTGAGCCTTTCTCCTTTTTTTTTCACAGTGGTAACGGTATCATAACGAGTATGCGGCGAGCGACCGACGACGCCTCTCGTGCCCACGTGGTCGCGACTAGGCCGCTGGAATGGGGAGAGTAGTGCGTCGAGCAAAACAGAAACTTATTGAGAAGGTGGTCAGTCCGCTTTGGCGGGGGAGAGCGTGCCCCTGGCCTCCCGGACCCCCCACCCCCCAAATTGCGAAACACACACGCGCAGCACTGATCCAGCAGCACTGGGCTGGACACGCTGCAATTGCCCGCGCCGCCGGTAGCTATAGCTCTGCCATGGTGCCGCGAGCCGAGCTCTGCTGCGGCCGACCCAGGCCCTCCTCGCCCGGCCAGACCAGTTTGTCAAAGTGCTGCATTCTGCTGGCCGGCTAGGCGGGCTAGGCTTGGGCTGGGCCACCAACGGACTGCCTCTCGCCCGCCGCGCCCCAACCGCTCTGATGTGGTGGTCAAGTGTAGTGGCGACTGTGCGGCCCGCTAGCCCCACGAGTCCCCGTGAGCCGCCGACGACGAGGCGGGTACGTCCGGGGGTGCGCTGCGCTGTCTGCACTGACCCCCCGAGTGATTTTTACATTTCGAGCACCACCAAATACACTGAGTTCTTGAACCAAGTACACTCTGTTTTTACACTCTTTTTTCAAGTGCGTATGCCTTGATACAAATTATGTTCACTTGAAACATCTGGGATCAGGTACAATGGATTTGATCCAAGAACTCTGTTTTTCGGGTGAGCTACCACTCTGCTATGTTTGCCCTTTGCACCGCAGCGCCCGCGCGGCTGGAGAGGATCCGGCGGCGACGAGGAGGAAGAGCCCATTACCGTCCAAATGGTGTCGTGCAATGCTGCTCGCGCCTTCCCTGAAGTTTGGACCTCCCGACCCGCTCCCGCGACCCGCCTCTCGCCACGCGCCCACCGCCGTACCTGTACCGGGCGTCTCTGTGCACGCGCCGCAATAGTGTCGTGGAATTGATTATGATTAGTGGCGCAGGCCCGCAATCACTGTCAAAATGTTTTGTGGGTTTTAGCGGAAAAAAAACAAACAAAAAATATAAAGTAACGATTTTAAAATAATTGTAAAATTATCGAATTCTTATGACATTAAGTGTCGACTGGAGCTCAGGTACCGA